TGTAAAAATAAGAAATTATTAATTGGACCATCTTTCTTTTTTTAAGAGAGGGGGGAGGGGGGGATTATAATGTTTTATTTAACTATTTGATTTTTATAAATGTCATTTCTATACTTATAAACACGTAGTTAACCATCATTTCATTCTTATTAATTCCTAAGATCCATATATTATTTATAGATGTTAGCTAGTAAAGTGTAATTTCAGGCTTAAAGTGTATGGACTAATGCCTAATTGAAGTATTCGAGCGATCGAGGGTCAATGTTAATTTCTCTCTAATTTTGGAATATTTTGTCTGGATTAAATTAACTTTGGAAAAGGCTTAATCTCTCAAACGCTCCAAAATAGGGGAGGGGAGGTAAAGCAATTATTTCAAATGTTTCAAGGCCTCCATTATTAGACTATTTTAAGGGCTGTCAAATTTTGTTTCTTCTGTATAATTTAGAAAAAAGTACAAATATTACATAATTTAAGCTTATGCCGGTTATGCATTATAAATTATTTATATTTTACCATAAAATATTCCATAAATTTTAATATCTATTCATATTCTAGGCTGTTTATTTAGTCGAACCGCCGTGGTTATTTTTTATCGCTCTTTTCGCTTAGTTAAATTTAAAGTTTCTAAAGAACCTCCGAATTTATCTATGTCCGGATGGGGGGGGGGTGTTAGCTAGGCCCTGTTTAAATATCTAAATGATACTTTGCACTGATGGCCATTTTTATGATATATAATGCTAAAACTATATAAATTTAATAAATAAATCTAATTATTTCGTTTCATATATCTTAGGAAAAGTAAATTAATGAACATACCTCTTCTGCATTCACATGTTTTACATCCCCTTTTATAAACAAATCCATTCCGACAATACTTATGATGGCAATTGACAGGCCGACAATATCCTAAACGCATATTATATTTTAAAAAAAAATTTCTGAGTTTTAGATGAGAAAATGTTTCAAACTTAAGATAATTATTTTTTTAAGAATGTTTTCTTTCTCGTTTTTTTTTAAAAAAATTAATAAATATCAAGATTTTTTGATAACATTTTATTTCGAAAAAATGTTGATGTACAGTTCAAACGTTTTGAATATTATTTAAAGTGAAATGTTAAATCACAAATTTGATAGGAACGAAGTTAATATGCTATTAGGATTATGGTCCAACTCAAAGAAAATTAATAAATTTGGTTAAATTTTAATCAAATAACCCTGACCCATATCTTTTATAACCTTTACACTTATTCTTTACATCCGATACTTTTCATCCAATTTAAAAAAAAATCCTCTTCCGTTGAACATTCCATGAGTGGAACCTGTTTTTATTTTTGAAACTACCCCTTATTTATAATTGATTTCTATATTAATTTTCCATATTAAATAAATAATAAACAAAAATTTGCGGAGAAAGCGATTGAAATTTTATGGTGTATTTACTCTATAGCAAAATAAAGTCTTTCAGAATAAAAAAAAAACAGTGTACTAGAGCTGATTAAAATTTTTCAAATCTTGTTAAAAAAACCAGAGTCTCCCAAACATAGTTTTGAATTTTGGTAAACTTCTATCCTACCCACATAAATCATTGAAAACTAGAAGGAAGAAAGAAAATAAGTTATCCTTGGTAAATGGATCCATGTAATAATCAATACTTCCTCCTCCTATTCTATATTCGCACCTTAAGCAACCCCTGTTATCATTATCTAATCCACTTCAGGCATAATTCTGAGCATCGAATACATTAGGACAATATAAATGAATAAATTATTAAAAATTGAAAGAAAGAATGCATAAGAAAGGTGAAAGATCGCATAAAAAAAGAGAAAAATTAGAAATATATATACTTCGGCGTGCAACGAATTCTTCTTGAGATAACACATTCAAAATGTAAGCTGATAACAATAAGACTATCAAATATATCTTCATTTTATAACAAATTTCTCAAAAAAGAAAATAAATAAATGACAATTTGATATTGTTTTACCCTTTTTATCCAGATTCAAGTTAGATTTGTTTTGATGAAGGTTAAAGTAATATTCTTTAATAAATTATTAAATTGTAAAAAATATTAAATATTAAAATTTACGGATTTTTGGCAATTCTCTTGCGTAATTAATATATATATATATACATATGTGTTTAAAATGATTTTATAACTATAGGGTTAATTTTTATTTTACATTAGGAATTTAAATCTCTAATATTTACGCAAATCATTTTTTGAAAACATATTTTATTTTAGCATATTTTATTATTTAAAACAAATCGACTTTTAATTTTCATATTTATTTGATAGGATATATTCATCTTGAACCGAACCCCATCCCCGTAATATAGGGTGGGGTTGACACTAATAGACACTAATACCCTAGCAGATGGATTCGCCACTTGTATGGAATAAAACGCATACCAATGTGGTGACAAATCGGGAATCATATTTTAAGCTGTTAAAAAAAAATTGTCCCCTACATAATCCCTCTCACCCTCCTATCCCCCATAAATGTATACAATACTATACTATAAACAATAATAAATAAAGTTGATATATATTTTTTTTTAAATATTTACCTTTATGATTTAAATATTTTGGAAGAAAAAAATGCATTTTAAATTTTTTCAAAAAAGAGAAAGCCCAAATTTATTTTATAAAGAATGAAACCGCCAATACCCAGAAATAAGATTTTTTTTTTTTAAATGGCAAAAAAAACATAAGTGTTGTGTTGCGCCGCCATTCCTATCAAAATCCTTGCTAAGACTATGACCACTTGTACTTTCTTTCCAAGGTCACCTCGAAATTTGAGCTACGTTTAGGAAACCCCATCTTTATTTTAAGAAATGGGTAAGATAATCTCTACTACCCCCCCCCCCCAAGTAATATTTCATTCAGACACCCAAAGATTTTATATTAAAGATAATTCTTCGACACAATTTTATTTTATAAAATATTTCATATAATTAATTCATAATAACATTAAATATTCGAGTTTTGAATTCTTACATATTTTAATTTCGCTACAAACTCAGTATTGGAGGTCTGAAAATAGCATAATTCTCAGGCCAGACCCGGTAGGAATTAGGTTTTTTGCCCCCCCCCCTTAGGCCGGGTTTCAATAAAATTATTTTTATCCTAAAAATATATTTAACTTCAAGGTAAAATATCTGGTTCTCATTTTGATATTTCTCCAAGAACAACCAAAATAGGCTCTTCTTAATCCCAAAATGATGAAATGGCATGATGCCGAAGGCTCTAGATGCATTTTGCAGTTTTCTTTCTTCTTGTAGCGCAAGAAGTTTTAAAAATAATTTTATTCGCAAATTCTGCTTGAAAAATGATTATTAACCTCCTGAAGACCTTATTTCTACCTTATTTATCTTTTATAAAAATTAATTTGAACCTATTGCTATAAATTTTAAATATATAATTAAATTAGAATATGACCTATATGAAATAGAACACACTTTGCATTTCTCAATTTATGAAACCTTTTATATTTCGTCATTTGGCCTAAGTGGGTATTCTCCCCTTATCGCCTCCTTCCATTCCACTGGCTATGCACCTTAAGCGGTACGGTATACTCCATTTTATATTATAATAAATCGAAAAATATAACTCTGATTTGGGAAAAAATAAATTCACCAGGAGAACCGGAAAAAATAGGGAACATATCTTTTTTTAAATAAAAGTGTGCAGTATTTTACTTGTAAAATTGTGAAACATTAAATTTTACCATTTAAAATATTTTTTCATAGTGTTTAGAACCTTCCTACCCCGGTAGTAGTCTTTATGTAAGACAGGATTGGATCGTCGACGCTATTAAGTCGGATGGGACTTGACTGGTACTATCGGTCCGGCCATCAGGCAATTGTTATAATCCAGTAATTGTTAAAAAACATTTATTTTTACCCTTCTCTTCTTTATTTGTTATGTTAGTGCTTATTAAATTAAAGCATAATAGGACGAAGACCAGGAAGGAGCTAACACAGTTATCTACCATGACAAACTAGCTCTCATACATAACAAATATAACTAATTCCATACCAATTATATTAGGAAATACATATTAAAATTATGATAGAATACCAAAAAAAAACCTATGGATTTCAAAACATAATATATTTTAATTTAAAAATTAAAATTAATCATCTAAATCAAATTTCTATCGAAAAAAAAATACAAGGGAACAACAAATCTAATATTTTCAATGATAAAATATTATTGAAAGGAAATAAATAACTTGCAATTAGAGCGTAGTTGGAATACAGCAAGAGAGTAATTATATCGTTATCAACTTTCTATTTCCAATTCAAGAATCCATACACTTATATGTTATATATCTATTTAAGGATATTAATCTGACTATAGTAATAAGAATAAGCAATAATGCTAAATAACTTAGCAATTATTTGGAATAAATAATGAAACAGAAAAGAAAAAAGTAAAAGTATGGATAAGATTAGACATTATATAAAATGTTTGGCATTAAACAAATCATATGTTTTTTGCGTATTTATCGATTTAAAAAGTAAATCATGGTGAACTTTTAACTGTTTTTTAATCGGTCTTCTATCGGACCGGACCAGACCATCGGATCTTGAGGTCAGGCCGGATTGTTATCATTGGCATGAAATAAACCGGGCACCGATGTTGCTTTAAGAATCGCTTCTCTTTGACTGAAAACCACCCACCCTCTTAAGAAATTTGGCCGTTTTCGAAGTATGTTATAAAGCTCATTCAAAAAAATCACTTACATTCCCCATCACCTTCCTGATGAATTTCGTAAATAAATACCAGTATGTCATCATAAGACACCTAGAAAAAAAAAGGAAATGATTATTACTTTATTTTTTACACAATTTGAACTTACAATAAATAGGTATAAATTTGTATATCGATTCAATTATTTTTAATCAAATACTGATATAATATATAACATATTGTTATATTTTTTTAGATTCAAATATTTGATAATAAAAATTTTTTATATAGTTTTGTGATGTGTGTTAACGTATATAATGGTTCATAAATAAAAGATTCTGATTGAATAGCGCGATAATTTGTATTTGTTGATGTCCTAGTATTTTTTTTAAAAAAAAAACAAAAAACATGAAAATTTAATGCATGATGATTAAATAAAATAAATTACAGCAAAAACTCCAAGATTTTTTCCCCAAGTTATAGAAAGTTGCAAGGAATACATAGTAAGTTAATAGGAATTTGATTGAGACTCAAGATTTAGGGTTAAATTAGGGAATTTCCCGAATTGCCAAGATCACAGATTAGAAGAGTTATTAACTATATGTATATGGCAAGTTAATTTGGAATGAGGACTTATCTCCAATCCTCCCGTTGTGAATTATGAAATTAGCCACTCAATGAAGGATTTTTAAATTTTTAAATAAAAAAAATTCGACTTTTTTTTTTAAACCTGAAATTAAATATTCCAGCTTTGTAAAGAAAACTACCTTGTAAATTTTTCAAATAATTATACCATCTTATAACTTTTAAAATTGATGCCTTAGGTAACCTCTTATATACGCTGAAATTTATTTCCTGTACAATCAGATTTAACAATCGCACTTAGTCAAATGTTTGAAAAATCAGGTGGTAGCAAAGGACATTCCATGACCTCTATCACTAGCCAATGTCAAAAGAGTCATTTTGAATTTAACCCCGATAAATAATTCTAACCATTTATACAGGATGAAAATAGAAAATAAACAATATACATATACTAATCATAAAACAATAAAAAATTTCGTTAAAAATAACGGAAGTTTTTAATTTATTAACCAATTGATTTCCTAATTGTATTAAAGAAAACGTGACCAATGAAATTCAGCAAAAATTTAGCTTCTGAACTTTGAAATTAATTTAAAAATATAAATTAAATTTTATATTAGTTAAAAAAAAATGGGTATTAAAAATATATTCACCTTCATATTAAGATAGTGCTGACATTGCACGTGATGAAATACTGATTCCTGGCAAACTGAATTCACTCTTACCCTAAGATTTAGAATTGTTAAGATAAAATTTTCCATTATATCTAGACACTACCTGATACAATTATCGGTTTTATACAAATGTGGATTAAGCCCCCGTAGAAATTATTAATGAAAGCACCGCAGTTTGGACAAAGTCGGCGCCTATGATTATCATATACACTATTGAAAAAATTAATCTCTCATCCTAACCTAGCCTTTATTCTCCATGGTCCAGAAAAGTTATTTTATTAAAATTTCTTCCTAAAGTTGATTATTTTAACAAAAAAAAATTAGATGAATTACAAAAAAAACAAACTAAAAATAAGTGTAAATTTTTTTTACGTAGGTTGTTTAATTTTAATTTTTTAATTATTTTTTAGTAAGAAATAATGCTTTTCAGCCCTATAAAATAAATTAAAGGGAAATAAATATATATACCTTTATCATTTACACTAAATTCAAAATCTTTTTAGACAGCTCAACCAGGTCTAACTCCTTGAGTAGTTCTACCAGGAAGAGGTCTAACTCCTTGAGTTGTTCTATCAGGAAGAGGTCTAACTCCTTGAGTAGTTCTAATAGGAGATATTGGTCCTACTGTAGCTCGAATAGGTGGGCGTCCTGGTCAATATATTATTTTTTTTAAATTATATATTTATCTTTAAAGTACTATATTTCATATTAACCAAGTATATGGTAGGGATATTTACTTCCAAGAAGAGGGAATATATTCGAGCCATAAAATCGCGAAATCCCAGGATTGTTTGTAAAAAAGGAAATTATTAATTGGAGCTTCTTTCTTATTTTTTTTAAAGGGGGGGGGGGGGTATAAACATATTGTTAGCCATTATTTCATTCTGATTTACCTCTAAGCTCCTTATATTATTTATAGCTTTTACCTGGTAAAGTATCATTTCAAGGCTTATGCTCTGTGTTCTTTTTAGCTAGGCCTTTTTTAAATATTTAAATAATACTACACACTGTTAAATAACCATTTTATGATATAAAATTCTCAAACTATATAAATTTAATATATAAATAAGATTTTTATTTTGTTTCAAATATATTATAGGAAAAGTAAATTAAGGAACATACCTCCTCTGCATTGACATAATTTACATCCCATGTGATTGATTACAAATCCATTCGGACAATACATAAAGCATTGGAAAGGCGGGCAACGTCCTAAAGCATATTATAAAAAAATATTATTTTTTTTCTTAGTTAATCGGTTTTTTTATAGCTACTTTGCACTGTTAAATAACCATTTTTTGATATAAAACGCTAAATCTTAGGAAAGGTAAATTAATAAACATACTTCTTCTGCATTCACATATTTTACATCCCCTGAAATTGGTTTCAAATCCGTTAGGACAATACTTTCTGCAATGGAAAGGCGGACAACGTCCTAAACGCATATTGTAAAAATAATAATTTATTGAAGTCTTAGAGGGAGAATGTTTCAAACTTAAAAAAAATTTTTATATTTCAAAACATGTTTTTCTTGTTGTTATAGTTTTTTAATGTTTTATTTCTCGTTTTTTTAACATGCCTAAATTAATAAATATTAGGAATTGCTAATAGCATTTCATTTTCGTAAAAAAAGTTTTTATGTGAAGTTCTAACGGTTTATTTATCTAAAAATATATGTATAAATAGATTAGAAATGATATTTCACAAGTTTGTAAAGGAACAAAGTTAAAATGCTATTATGAATATGGTCCAACTCAAAGAAAATCAATAAAAATGTCTAAATTTTGGTCAATAAAACTATTTTTAATATATCATAACCCTGACCGTTACTTTAGATACTTTTCATCCAATTAGAAAAAAAAACCTAATCCTTTCAGTTAAACATTCCATGAGTGGAACCTGTTTTAATTTTTGAAACTACCTCTTATTAATTTCCCATATTAAATTAATAAAATAATTAATAAATATTTTTTGAGAAAGGGATTGAAATTTTGCGTGGTAGTTACTTTATAGCAAAATAGAGTCAGAATAATAATAATAATAATAATAAACCTGATTAAAAATGCCAAACTTATTTCTAAACTTCTATCCCACCCACGTGTATCATTATAAACTAGAAGGGGGAAAGAAAATAAGTTATCCTTGGTAAATGGACCCTTAAATAATTTTCTTTCCTTCAAAACCTCTTATTCCCCCTCCTCCTCTTCTATATTCGGACCTTAAGCAACCCTTGTTATCACTCTCAAATACACACGGGTATGATATTGAGCATCGAATATTAAGACAATATAAATGTATAAATTATCAAAAATTAAAAGAAAAGAATGCACAAGAAAGTAAATGAAAGATCGCAATAAAAAAAGAGAAAAATTAGAGATATATACTTCCGTGTGCAGCGGCGATTTCTTCTTGAGATAACACATTCAGAATGTAAACTGATAACAATAGCACTATCAAATATATCTTCATTTTATAACAAATTTTTTCAAAAAAAAATTATAAATTAAATAAATGACAATTTGAAATTGTTTTACACTTTTTATCCTGATTCAAAGTTAGATTTGTTTTGATGAAGGTTAAAGTAATTTTCTTTAATAAATTAATAAATTGTAGAATAAAATATCAAAATATACGGAATTTTTGGCAATTCTCTCGCGTAATTAATTTATATATTTAAAATAATTTTTATAACTATAGGGTTAATTTTCATTTTATATTAGGAATTAAACCCTCTGAGTTTTTATTGCAATTTCGAAAACATATTATATTATTTAAAACGATTCGATTTTTAATTTTCCTATTTATTTGATAGGATATATTAACCTTGAACCGCACCCAACCCCCGTAACCTATGATGGGAACCCTTGCTAATGGTTTTACCAATTGTTATGGAATAAAACGTGCATCGATGTGGTGATAAATCTAACATGCCCAAAAGTGGCACCTCCTTTTGTGGGAAAACCCGCTTAAAAATTGTCCCCCTACATCCCCCTACCTCTCACCCTCCTCTCCCTTGAAAATTATACATTTGGTATTAAAGGTCTGAGAATGGCAAAGTTCTCAGGTGCCATATATTAAAAACCAGACAGGACAACCGTTTCGAAAAATTAAAACCGGGCTGGGCCGGGGGCAAAAGTCAAATTCCTTCGTACAAGTTCTGGATCAAAAATATGTGTTTTTGAACACCAAAATGTACAAATATTTGAAATCAAATATTTACTTCTTATGAATTATCAGAATCAATCAAACACCCGGTCGATTAAATATTATTTTTTGTCGTTTCCAGATCCAAAATAATTATAGTGATTTATAGGTCAAAACTGGTTATTAAAATCTGAAAAGAATGATAAACATGGGATAGAAAAATCCTATTGAGGTTGGAAAATAGGGATTTCAGGATATCTATCCGCGGTTCACAATCATTTTTTAAGGGTTATCGGTTCAGGTTCGGGTGACAAATTTTTTAGCTGTTCAAGTTCGGTTTAAATTCTTGCTCAAAATACTGGAAGATTTACCGACAAAATTATTTTTATAAACATTATTTTCACATTTTTATGTAAAACCTATTGCGCAGGGGGAAGAACTCATTATACCATCACCTTAGTCCTTTACCCTTCATTCATAGTAGTTAGATGTAATTTGCGGCGAATTATGCAAAATATGCCGCATTTTGTGTATTTTTATACTTAGCCGCGGATTCGCTGTAACTATTAATGCGGGGTTAGACAGGATTTAGATCCCAGAGCGGTAATTTCACTTTTGAATATTATTAACTTATAATCAACATTACTAAATCAAAGCTAAATGACAGGGAACATGAAAATGGATTTTAAATATGCAAAACGATTATCCGAAAATTTGGCGAAAGAAATTTAAATTCAAAAATATTCTTCTATTTTTTCGACCAAAAAAAAATACTGAAAATATAATTGGCGAACTAAGCAAAAGCACACAAATATACAAATATAAATATCAAATAATGCGAAATAATTTTTTAAATATAAAAAAGGACACCAAAACAATACAATATATCTCATTTTTAAAAAACCTCTTTAAATTTTTTTATTTTTAAGCTGAGGTATAAAAATAGATATTTTAAATATATTTAGATATAATTTATTATTAATAATACAATTTAAAACGGGGGGTTATCATGATATGTATTTTTAAAAAAGAGCTGTAATTTGTTAAATTTTAAATTTAATATTTTATGTCGTAATGTAATATATAATAATAGAGGAAGTATGTAATTTCTGAATTTTTATATCATTAAAAATATTTTTAAAAATTTTTGGAAAGTAGGAATTAGCCGAAATATCCAGCATATATAAAGTAACTACCCTTTGAACTTCACACAATTTTTTCTTTTAAATTATGTGTATTAATCAATATATCTTCACAAATTAGGTAATTCAAATATCCACTTTTCAAGAATGACTTTTATACATAAACCAATTTTTATAACATATCATTTACACCAAAAAAAAACCCACAAAATATTTAAATAAAATAAATTTAAATTATAGCCTATATAAGGTTATCCATTCCAAACTTAATTTAACTTTAAATTTCTGTCCTGTAAAATTACAAAAAAGTGGAGATGGAATAACCTAATTCTCAGGCAACGATATGAATTATAAGTTAAGTTCGGTTAAATGTTTACAATAAAAATGTACCAACATAGTATATACTACTAAATCGATTTCAATTCTCCTAAATCTAAGCCATCCTATTCCCTACATTATTAAATTTAAAAATAACCTAACTTTTTTACTGTAAATAAAACTAACCAGAAAAGCATATATACGTAAATAACTTTTAGGTCATTTATATGGTAGAAAATCAAGTATAATTCAATATGAGAGTATGTATGTTAGAGTTCTGCAAAGTTAGGCCCGGCCTTTAAAAAAAATTTCGGGCCGGGCTTGAAAAATTAGGCTCGATGCAGATCACTAAATGTAAAAACAAAAAAAACGAATTTATTACATTCATTTTCCTTTTCGTTCGCTTTATTGAGGAGGAGAAATGAAATTTTTGGAAAATACAGGAAAATCTTTTCCTTCTATTTTTAATATATTTGGAAAAAACTGAGAAATATAGTTTAAAGTTATTCCATGCTTCCATAGCGTTTCTTGGTGGATTATTAATTAATTAATCTTTGATACAAAGAAGATTCAAATGCTTAAAGCTTTTAGATACATTTATATCCTCTGAATAAAATTGAGCTAAATATTTAATTACAATAACAATATTATTCCTAAGTAATAGTATTTGTAAATCGAATAGGGCCGTTTGGTGAATTCACAATTTCATTGATTCAAGTCAAAAATATATATACAAAAAAGGAATAAAAACTGTCATTTTATAATAATCCTCAAAAGCATCACGTTTTAATATTGAAACGATTTTTTTTTACCTAGTTACAAGTCCTGGTCAGGCCGTGCAAACAGGGGGGGGGGGGAGTCACCGTGGAAGCCATCTCACCCTCAGGCTGCCGAAATTACAATTTTAGGGGCTGCAATTTATAATAAAGGTTTGAAATTGCTAGCCATATGTATTATAAAGAAAAATTTGATATATATTTTAGTTTAAAAAAAAACAGCATATAATTTTTAGTTAAGAAATTTGATTTTTTTTTAATTGAAATTTTCTTTTTATAAATTTATTTACCATTTAAATGATTATTTTAATAAATTTGGTTTATTTTCTCGTAAATATCCTGTTTTTGTAGCTTGTATAACTATGAGGCACTTTTTGGATATTTTGATTAGTCTATTTTAAAATTTAAAATCAATCACACTTATAGTTTTGGTCATACAAACCCTTTAAATTAGATTAGATTATTATTAGATTTAAGTGTTTAATTTGATATACGCATATTATATAATATGCTAGTGTCAGACCCTTTTGATCACAAATGCTGCAGAGAAACCATTTGCCAAATATTTAAAACAATTCCCTTTTTAGTAACTCTCGTCATCTGGTTTAAAATATTATGCCTTTATTGATAAAAAGTTTATTATCACTCAGGCTAATTTATTAAGTAAAAGTCATGTAAAGTGACAATATTAAAAGAACCATTACATTTATATGAAATATGCAAGATATCGCTTTAAGGAAAACGGCCTTCAGAATTTCCTTGACTCAACAATGAGCTTACGCAGGAATTGGATGAGTTTAGAAGAGCAGGGCTTTTCTTCAATAACATTAATTAGTAGGCGGAAAGATTTAAAATAATTTTCTTACGAAGATCGCCTATACATGATCCTCAAAAAATGTAAAATTGAATTTTTCGATGTATTACTAGACCAGGCGAGAAATTTTTTGCAGGAACGTTCAGCAGTTAAAGCTCTTTAAAGATCATTCTGGATTGATATTCAATAGAGAAATGCAAAAATGAGCCTTAAAAGCACGCTAAAAAAAATCCTATCAATAAATGTTTGGCAGATACGTTGGAACTCGATATTAATATCCGCAAGATATACTAATTGAATTAAAAACTCCATTGGAAATTTTATATTATATTAACATTTAACACTAATTTTGGTAAATTATGCTTTACAAATTATATCCATTGTAATTAAATATTATTTTAGTCATTCCAATTTACCATGGTATCCGCAGAAATCTTCTCAAAGCTCATATTAACTAAAACTGATTCTGTATTGGCACAGACTTGTTAATCGCCTCATCGTTAGATTATACCGACAAAATATCCGCTTTTTGCAAAAAAAAACATGCGGAGAGGAAATCGCAATATTTAAAGACTATTTAGATTCATTTTTATAATGTGCGTTACTCTTTTATGATTAAAATTTAATAAAGTTTATATGTTTTTTAGTTCTGATTGCGAAAGATCATCATCAAATATGCTAAGGCAAATCGTGTTTTATTAAGGGGCCGCCAAATTACTTTTAGCCCTGGGTAGCCTAAGGTCTTGGCACAGCACTGATTGCGGCTTGTGAATCTCAAAAATCATAATAAATCTCTTGAAATTCTTGGTCGATATTATCTCATAGTTTTTCTAAGATGCAAACATAATAGTGTAACCACAGCCATATCCATACAAATTTTTTGAAATTAAAATTGCATGAAATTGTTGTGTAATTAAATAATTTATTAATATATTTATATATATTTCAGTGTGAAATAAAAGTCGGCTTATTCATTCGAATAATATATCAGTTTCGGGTGAATAATTGGTTCCCATTCTTTATATTTCTCCAAGGACATCCAAAATAGGCTCTTTCTATATCCAAAAATGATGAAAGATCATGACACCGAAGCTCTATTTGCAGTTTTTTTTTCTTCTTGTAGAGCGAAAAATCATAAAAATAATTATATTTAGCAAATTCTGCCTTAAAAATGATTTTTAACCTCCCGAAGAAGTCCCTATTTCTTCCTTATTTATCTTTTATAAAAAGTAATTTTAACTTATTGCTAATATAATTATGATACAAAATAACCTATTTGAAATACACAATTCGTGAAACCTTTTATATTTTGTCAAAGAATTTTGCCCTAAGAGCGTAGGATTTTCTATGCGGTATAATCTATTTTATATTAAGATAATATAACCTTTTTAAGGTTGTGTCCAAAATATCAAAAAGAATTCGATTCGCAAACTTTTGAATTTTATCGATAAAAGAGAAAAGTAGGAAACATGTCCAAAATATAATTCTAAGAAATTTTAAAATCAAAAATTTAACTTTATACGATTGATTTCATTAAATTCTTAAAAATTAAAACACTAAAATTATTCATAAAAATTATCAGATTAAGAAAAAAATTGGGATAAGCCTAGACACGCTTTGCCCCCGCGAATAGCGTCTTGCCTATATGAGGTGCGCGATCCGTTGTTAAAATGAAAAAGCGGATATTTGACTTTTTCAAGAACAATATATCTCTTAAAAACCTTCCTGGGAATATTATAACCCTAAAGCTAATAAAAATTATAAAAATAACAAACAAAAAAAATAAATAATCGAATTAAAATATAATCAATTGAAGGTTAAATTTTAAATTTTTGAATATTTTTTTTTTGCATCCTTACCCGATTTTTTTGTGAAAATTTGTTCGTACAAAAAATAAACACAAAAGATTTAGGCCACCAAAATTCGTATTTTCTATAAATATGCTTAAATTTTATTGGACGTTGACAATCTGCTTAGGGATTCTAATAACGCTGAGCGGTTGCCTCGAACCTCAGTACCGTCACGGACACAGTGTGGGAGGTTACTATTTTATTTATTCATTTTTGAAAGATTCATTCTTCAAATATTTTAAAAAAAAACTACTTTATAGGTCGCTGCCGCCTATGTAATTTGCCATGTGGTCGTGATGGTTATTTGCCCGATTATAACGATTGCCCTATATGTCTATGTAGAAGATTATACAGTAAAATTTTATATATAAAAATGTTATTAGACTTCTCTGCCCCTCCCCCTCCCACCCAAAGCTATGTAAACTTTCTGTAAAATAATGATATTTTTAGGATTGGGAGATGAGAACCGTTGTCAAATAAAGAAAAGTTAGAACTTAAATGATACTAAATCTTTATTAAATACTTAAATATAAGGTAAAAACATAATCAAAATAAAAAATAAATTAAAATTAAAAATTAAGTTCGTAAAATCATAATTCTTCTTAACTAAAATATTCCCGATTATATATACTTTTCTTTCCTATTCATTCGCAGTCTTTATTCAAAAAATCTAATAATTCGTTACGTTTTTCTGTTTAACAATCGATTTGAATATTACTTGATTTGAATATTACTTCTTTCTCCTCACTTCCTGGATCTATTACATTAACTTATCCCCATTTCAATTATCAATATTTTTTTCTTCTTTTTTAAACTTCATCAATTTTTACTCATTTTTCTCATATATATATAAAAATTTTTTTAATCAATTTTTTTTCATTTCCTTGTGCCAATTTAATAGAATCCAGTCGCTGTAAACCAATGGGGCGATTTTGCTTACCAAAATGCCAAAAATATATTAACCAATGTCCGCATTGCGTCTGCTAAAAAGAAAGTATCGTGGATTAATACATTACATATAATATAATAAAGTATAAGTTGGAGACTGGCACCCCCTTAATACAAATTCGGCGCGTTCCTGTAGATTAAACCCGAATTATCCCCTTTTTAACCATTATTTCCCAACTATTAAATAAATGAAATAACCAAAATGCCGTTTATCGCACACTTCTCCTTAACATTTTTTTTATATAAGGTTTTGGCAGTGAGAATGACAATATATATAGGTAAAAATTATAAATGGGTTTTTTGATTTAAAATTAACAAATTTTCTAATAATTATATAACATAATGTTACTTAATTATTATATTTTATATTAATACAATAGGAAAGAATACATAGGCAGCGATCCTTGAAGGAAAAAATCCTAATTACTTAGCAAAGAAAAAAATTATTCATAAAACAGGAAAAAAATAATTACATATTTATAATATTTTTTAATATGTTTGCAAAAGAAATTTAAATTCATCTATCTAATATACAATGAAATGATGCGATGTATTGAATTTTAAAAAAAAATAAAATATTTATTATGCTGTTCAGAGTTTATTATAATATTTCTCAAGATCAACAATTCTGAAATGGGAAATATATTATATAATATATAATATATATATATATATATATATATATTGATAATAACACAATTCAAGTAATTGTTACTTAAATGAATTTTTTTTAATTGGGTGAAATATACATATATCAGAGGACCTTGAAGCCCGGACTGGCAGAAAAATGATTTTTGAAAAATATATACATATTTAAGTTAAATAAGTTAGTAAAATATTTACATATTTCCTGATGTTAAATTTTTTTTTGTAAATATTTAATTTCAAGAAAAATACTAATATTTTAATATTTTTATTTTCCTTTCAACCTTATATAATTTTTCGAGTAAGAAAAAGAAAGAAAGAGTATGCAAAATTCCATGTTTTATGTCACATATAATTATGCAAATATCTTTTTGATTAGCATTTATTCAGCGAATAGAACCTTTAAAATATCACAATATTGCTTTATAATTATATAGGCATAGCAAGAATTTTTGCTGGAGAGGAGGAGGGGGGGGGGGGGAGTTGGAATTAGAAGTACTTAGGTCCTCTTATCTTTCTAATTATTGTTTATAGTGATTTATTGTATATACTTCAGGAGATGGGAGAAGTGGGAGGTGGGAATGTGTTTTATTAGCTTAAGGCAAATTTTCGAAGGGGGTGGGCCCTTCTCCGTTTACGCTGTGAATAATTGTAACAATAATATTTTATGATACAAAAACTAAGAAATATTGCAATTTTAATTTAAATAAAATTTACCAGTGTTGTTAAACTACCTAACTTTAGTCAACTATAAAACAACGTAGCCATGTTTTTATCCCAAATTATTCGAATCAATATTAAAGTTGAGACTCAACTTAGAGGTTTAATTCAATTTTTTAGGCTAAAAAGCTTGACAGAAAGAAAGAAAGAAAGAAAGAAAGAAAGAAAGAAAGAAAGAAAGAAAGAAAGAAAGAAAGAAAGAAAGAAAGAAAGAAAGAAAGAAAGAAAGAAAGAAAGAAAGAAAGAAAGAAAGAAAGAAAGAAAGAAAGAAAGAAAGAAAGAAAGAAACACTTAATAATATTTATTAAAAATTTTACCGACAAATTTTATTAAAAGTACAATATCATCGATGACTAAAAATACAAATAAACTAATTGACAACTCTTTTATTTTATTATTAGGAAAAAAATTATTATATTCTCCAATCCCCCCCCCCCTCCCCCCAAAAAAAAATACATCATCAATCTTGATAATGTTTTTTTTAAATTTTAATTAAAAAAAACAAAAAAATTCAATGTTATTTAAATTTTAAATGTTAATTATATACACCTTCATCATTTATTACGAAAAATTTCATTGCCATTTATACACAAAAAAAATATACAATTTTCAAAATTTCGTTTTCATATAATTTTCTCGTCAAAATAATTTGGGGTAAAAAAAAAAAAATTAATTAAATGTTGGATAAATTAGGTGAGAATTTCTACGCGATCAAATATGTATTGATTCTGTTATCAATTCATTTCGTACTTGGACAGGTATAAAAGCTAAATCTTTTAAATAAATTCCTTCCCCCCCCCTCATTTCCCATAACTCAATGAAATTATTCTGTTTAAATTCTTTGGGCAGGTATCTATAGAGCCGGTAACTCCGACTCCGAGAGTGGTAGTGCAGAAGGTGATTCAAAGGGTTGTCAAAAAAACTACTGCAACACCCGTTCATTCTAAAATAGGTAAAATTTTAAAAATATTTTTGTTTGGTTATGAGCGGTTTTTTTGGTTTGTTTTTTACGTTTTTTAAATTCGTTTTTTATTTCTCTTACCTTTTAGACTGCTTAGTCTAAACTATATATCCGGCTAATCAGTCAGCTGTTTGGTAATGAGCAGACGCGTAGCTAGTTGTGAATTGCAAAGTATTCTAGATTACATTCTATTCAAAATTATTAGCAAAAAGTTAAAATTAAATTTATTTCTTGTATATTAATATTTTACATTTTTTAAAACGTTAAAAACTGATGGATATAACAAAATTATATCAACCAGAAAAAATTCTATTCAATTTATCTCTACTAATAACTTGGGAAAATTTTCTAGAGTACATGAAATGTTGAGATATCCAAATGGACAGAATTTACATTTCTGAGACTTCTTGTGCTACAGGAAAAAAAGAAACTGCAAAAAGCCTGCACGACAAGATGGAGCCTTCGACATCAAACTGTTACATCATTTTTTTTGATCTAGAAGAACCTATTCTGATATGCCCTTGGAAAAATATCAAAATCACCTGAACCACATATTTCATCTGAAGCTGATATTTTATATGACTGCCGATTTTTTCAATTTATAAATTTCTCTTAACCCCATCTGATCTGAGGATATATCAAATCTTGATATTGTAAAATTAAATATTTCGCTAAATTTTTATTCAGTTTCAGAGGATATAAAAAGCATCCGAAGGCCAATTAATTTCAGAATTTAGATAATATAAAAAAATTCATTTTTTATAGTTAATCATCTAAAATGTATATCTTCGTACAATTAAGATTGGCGCAGGGGAACGTTTTTTTCCAAGATCTTTCAAAAAAAAATTGACAAATTTTTTATCTTTTAAAGCCTTTTTTTTTTGATTCTCTTCGAAAGATATTGAATTATTAATGGATAATTTTTTCTTTATATGTACAAAAATAATTTTTAAATAGTAATATACATCAAAACTTTATATAATATTTTTTATAGTGTGCCCGAGACTAACCTGCGCCAAGGAATGTCCATACGGCTTGCGACATGATATAAACTTTTGCCCCATTTGTCAATGTCAAGGTATTTCAGTTAAATATACAAAATTTTTAATGAGACAAAATTTAAACCACCCTCCTCCCGCTTTAAATTAACTAAATCAAAATGAATTTCCACTTTTTAAAATAAAAATTATTTAGAGATTAGAAAAAGAGCTATTATTAGAAAGCCCTATATACAATTAAAAATTTAAATCATGGTTTTAAAGCTAAATGTTTTTCTTTTTTTTTTGATTTACTATTATAAAAACATATATTACTTATTTTGATCATACTTAAAATATAATAGAGTATTCGGCTAGACCGTTCGCGGTATGCCTTCCTTTCAGAAGACGACGTGGTTTTTGCAGACGGAGATGCCAGAGATTTTACAATAATTGCTTCTTTTGCGTTTGTTAAACCCACTAAGATGATGCTGTTTCAAACATCATATTTTTTTCTATTTGCGATAAATTTGTGCCTGTAACCACAAACACTGCCAAACATTATCTTATTCTCTATTCCTAATTTTCATTATTATTAAATTATAATATTTGATAATAATAATAATTGCTAATTTTTTATTTATAAATTTATAATTGAGTAAAGAATTATTAGAATAAATAAATTGTATGTTACATTTTATTTATATCAAAAAAAAAATCAATTTAAACTCTATACGTATATATTTGATGTTTGTAGCGTATATGATGTCCGAATTGTCACGAAAATGGTATAAATGATTAAACCTAAGGGGGGTTCTTTCAAGAACAAAATAGAATCTCTCGATATCGAATGATTTATTACTTAAATTTTAAAAAAGGCAACATTTGGTTTATAAGTACTGGACTCTTGTAAACCCTCATTCATTTGTGGGAGGGAGGGGGTCAGACAAATTATTGGAGGGGTAGTTAAAAAATAAAATTTTTGTTATTTGAATACAAAATTAAAATATACCATTTTATTTGAAAAATAGCAAATATAAATAATATATATAATGATCAGATATTTTTATAAAAATTAGATGGAAGATAATAATTGACTAATAGCTGGAAAGAAATAAGTTTGATTTATTGATTTTACAATTATTATGTAATAACGTTGATATAGTTTAATTGTATACTTGTATAATACTTGTTAGGGATTCAATTTATAAAATATATGTAATTTAGAAAATAATTATAACTATATTACAATTGATTATTATGTCAATGCAATGATTGAGCAGTGTAAAACTAACAAAAATAAAGTAATGACAATATTATTATTTTTTTAAAATACTTTGAAAACAATTTCAAAATTAATCGGTTATGTTTTTTCCTAATTGAACCAAATTACCCTCTCTTATATCACTACTTGAAAGTCTATCTGATTTAATTATTATCTTTAATGGTGAAGTTGACTCTCATAGAATTTTTCTAAACTTTAACAAATAAGTTTTTAACAATCTCAATTTCGATTAATTCCTCTTCAGTAATATTGGTTGCCAATTAATTTTTTTTTATGCCTAGAAAATTGAAATGGCTACCTTAATTTAAATTGTATCTAAATTTGCTTATTAGTTCATAAATAAAATTGGAAAAATCTGATCTCCTTTATGATCCTCTTATTCCATGTATTCTCTGCAATTATATAATGTTTCTCAAGGGCACAAGAACTTTCTTCCGATTGGTTAAACCCATTTTGGTA